GGCTTTGGGGGCCGGCCCAAGGGGTTTCCCGGCCTTGGAGGGAGGGCAAGATGGTGCCATGGCACACACGGCTCTGGCTCCCAAGCCCTGCTGCCACTTCTGGCCGCCTGCTGGAAGCAGCTCCCTTCCCCTGCTAGAGCTGGGCTTGGCACCCCCTGCGTTTCTTTAAGCGTTTCACTGGATCATGCCGAGCTGTCCCCTGGGCAGGCAGCTCCTCTGAACCAGGACCCTCCGTGCACTCTGGGTTTTGGAGGGCCCTGGCGCAAGACGCCTCGTGGGGCTCCCTCTCGTGAGCCTGCCTGCTGCCAGGCATTGCCACAGCTGCTCCTGCTCCTTATCCTTGTTCCCGAATCATTGCTAGCATGCACTGGACAGGCAGAGAGCCTGTGAGCCAGGAGGCTGTTAGCCTCCTTTGCCCCTCTGTCTTGCTACCACCACTCACTGGGCCAGGGTGAGCGGTAGGTAAACAAGCAGGTTGCACTGATGAGGAAGAGCAAGTCTGGGGGCCTTCTGACCTTGGCCCCATAATGGGGTTTGGGCCCTCAGAGGTGCCCAAGCATGTCCAGGATTGGTGCTAACCCTGTATGCTCTGTGAGAGTTGGAACATAAGGAAGGCTGAGCGCCGACGAACTGGTGCTTTTGAATTGTGATGTTGGAGAAGACTCCTGAGAGTCCCTTGGACTGCAAAGAGATCAGATCAGTCAATCCTAAAGGAACTCAACCCAGACTGCTCTTTAGAAGGTCAGGTACTAAAGTCGAAGCTCAAATACTTTGGCCACCTATTGAGTAGGAAGGACTTATTGGAAAAGACCCTGGTGCTGGGAACGATTGAGGGCAAGAGGAGAAGGGGGCGGCAGAGCTTGAGGTGGCTGGATGAGGTCACTGGAGAGGTGTGTGTGTGTTTGGGTGTAGTTTGGAGGATGATGGAGGACAGGAGAGCCTGGAGGAATGTTGTCCATGGGGTCAAGAGGAGTCGAACACAACATGGGAAGGACTGTCAAGGGGAAAATATCACAACTCAGAACACTGAAAAACATCTACGTTCCAGCATGCTGAAATATGATCTCTCTCTGTTGTGGGCTGCAGTGGATGTTTTCCAATGTTTTTTAGTCAAACAAGCCGCCCCGAGGCTTTGTTGCGATGGGGGTGGCATAGAAATGTTTTAAATTAAATAAATAAATAAATAAATAAATAAATAAATAAGAGCTGTGAAGGCCTGAAAAATACCTGGAATCCCCAGGGGAAAAGCAACAGGTATTTTCTCCCTCACCCTACAGAAATTCCACAGAAGGGTGGGAGGAATGCAATTTTGTCTTTTAAATCCATTTACCTCCATTTTCTCCCAGACCTTCACAGCTCTAAGCTAAGAGCCTGCTGCCAAGAAGAGCACAGGGACGGAAGCAGAAGTGAATAATGGTGGGTCTAATCTTCATGATTTCTGTGGAATTTGCTGTTCATAAAGGCCAGTTTGGACATGGAGACTCATTACTTGATGGTTTGTAGTTTGGATCGAACCATCCAGGGACCTAACTGCACAGAAAATTTTTAGATCACCTGCTGTCAACTCCAGTGTGATGCTTTTTGATGAAATCAAACAGGTCATGGAGGTGTTGCAAGTCATGTCCTTTGAAATGTTTAATGACTATTTGGGTGGGCAGGTAGAATGGGATCATGACAATATTCCCTGTCCATTGACCTAAGTATATTGATTTTGAAATCTGCATAGATCCAAGGCACGTACAAATGCATGCATTTACCTAATTATTTCACTGTTCTTCCAATGTCTCAAGGTTCCATATTTAGGATCCCCAAGTGGTCTCCAATACAACCCCTAACCAAATCCAGACCTGCTTAACTTTGGCAAGGTGGCTGCCTGATTTTCAACATTAATGCACATAGGTCAGAGGAGAGGACAAAGATAAGCCAAGTTTTCCTGAGCCTGGTTTGGAAACAAACCAAGCGAGAGTGTAGAGAGCCAGTGTGGTGTACTGGTTAAGAGAATGGGACTGGGACTCAGGTTCTACTCCCCATTCTGCCACGGAGCCCACTGGGTGACTTTGGGACACTCAGAGACTCTCAGCCCAACCTGCCTCAGGGTGGTTGTGCAGGTAAGAGTGACAACAGGAGGAGGTTACATAAGCTGCTTTGAGTTGGAAAAAAGCAGGATATAAATCTAATAAATAAACTACTGCAATTTGCTGTAGCCTTTGGGAAATGACACCACCCATGAGAAACTAGGTGATGATGCAAGATGTGTCAGTGAACAGGCAAGCCAGGATGTTGAGGTGGGAAGTGTGGGATAGGCAAAGGCTGCTCCTTCTCCCCATGAGCACCATTGATTGCAGTGTCCAACCAGGTAAGGCCTTAAGGGAAGAGGTGACAGGTGTTTGGAGGAGTAGAGGAGTGTCAGCGAGGGCATTTGAGGAGAGCGGGGAGAGCTGGCAGGAGGCCAGTTTTATTTTCTGAGCCTCGGCTTGGAAAATAAACCAAGTTGTTTCCACTTCTTTCAAGCATATCTCCAAATCAAGCCATGATAAGGGAGGGAAGAAATCTTGCCCTTCCAGATGTCATTCGATGCACACCCCAAATCCAAGAGCATAGAAAACCTGAAAGAACTCTGGCTGAGCAATGAAATAATATGAAATGGAATCTTTGAATTTCAGATGTTTGCTGATATGGTTAAAGGGCTCTGGCTCTCACAAACAAGATGGATCCATCTCCTTCTAACACCCACACCTGTGCAAATGTATCCTCTTTAGCCGAAGACACAGCTTTTCTTGCTCTCTGTTCCTCTTCCTACCCTCCTTCGCTCCTCCAGTCCTCTTTGGCATGCATCCCTCATGCTGGCCAAGGTCGCTGTATTCTCAGTCCCATAGCATCTGTGGGAAACATGGCCTTCAGCCTCCATATCTTCTTAGATATGCCACACTGCTTTGCTCTGGACTAAATATAATCTTAAATTGTGTTGGTGGACATTTATCTGATTTATATTGCATGATTTTAATCTGATGAGGACTTTCTGTGAGGGGGAGTAAAAGGCAGGATATTTATATATATTGATTAAAAAATAGAAAAGACCCCAATTTGTTTCAGATTAACTCTGTAATCAGCTCAACCCATTTGATAATCAAAGAAAAGCCACGGAAAACAAAAACCACTTGCTGCAATATTGTGTCAACAAACAACTGACCATGGGTCAGCTGACAGTACACTTTTTACACCCCTATAAAGCAGAATGTCTGTGATATTCCTTGCTGAAAAGTTAGTAGAGTACTAAATACTCAGTGGGATTTCTGGACTGAGGAAGGGAAAGAGCTAAAGAATCCCATTATGAACAGGATTTCAGCATACATACTGGCCCTGAAATGCATCCTAAAATTAAAAAATGGGTTGTTTACTCCCTGGTTTCATCTCTTACCACTTGCCTTCTGATATCCTTTATCAATTGCCCATCATTGCTGGTGAAAGTTAAATGGACATAAATGGATGAATTGAAAATTTGAGAGTGAGGCTTCTCCATTGAGCTGGGGAGAAGGCATTTCTTATTACTGCAAAAAAAAAAAAAAAACCTGTGTAAACTTTAGACAGAGCTAACACTGTGATTTCCTTGCCTGCCTAGATAGGCTTAGAAAAGGTGATGTCTCATTTCTTAGCTGTTCAGATTTGGAAAAACTGAGTTAAATGCCATGGGTAGCTGACTTCCTTCCTTCCTTCCTTCCTTCCTTCCTTCCTTCCTTCCTTCCTTCCAAAGCAGGGGAACTTCTCCAGCTTAATGGGACCATGAAGTAAAAAACTTGTAACTGCATGTGAGATTTCTTTACACTGCTATGAAATTCAATGAAAGCTAACGTGCATTAGCCAGTCCCTTAATATTTCATCTGCCACTGCTACACAAGGAACATTCAGATCATGGGTCATCTATTTTTTCTGGGTGACAGAAATGTTATCACAGCACATCCAGAAAATTAGCTATCCCAGGATCTTTGGCATAAAGGATGGTGAAGGAACCAGCATAGAGAAAGATGTAGGGAGGGAAGAAAGAAACAAGAAGATGGAAAGAAACATGGGAGGGACGGAGGGAGGGAGGGAGGGAAAGAATGAGAGTTCAAGCTGAAGAATCACGACCACATCATACAAACACAGAGCTTATGAGACATGGATTTTCATTCTCCGCCTCCAACCCTTCTCCTCCATACGCACGGAGAGGTTTTCTCCCAAATGCAAGTAGGGATCTGGTGAAATAGGGTAGCTTCTGATGACAAAACACAAGGCATTTTATTTTGGGATACATTGACATAACAAGAGGCACCACTGCTTAGGTCCCATTACTAGCGCTCAATTCAGAATCCCACACCTCCACAATGGCATATACCCTGTTGTCTATAAAATGGTGGCCCCCAACAACAAAAATCTCCACCCAAACTCCTCCTTCCCAGTCATCCCAAAGACTAACCAGCCAACTCCAAGGGCCATCTCCATCTCCTTCTCCCACACTACCCGCAGTGCCTTCTCTCTGGAATGTGGAATTCCCAGCTGTTCCATGGCAAGGGGGAATACGTGCAGAACAACATCCGGCCAGAGATACCCTCTGCCTCAGAGCAGGCGCTTTCCCTCATGCATCCTCCACAAGTCTCGATGCCTTCAGCAACAAACACAGCAAGGATGGCTTGACAGGTGATCACACTGCAATGTTTGAGTATGTTTTCTTTTTTTAAAGGGAGGGCAGGGGTGACACATGCACGCACTCATGTATCTCAGCATCTTAGTGAGGCTCTCTCCTGCATTTCTACCAACAGTTCAGCCTCATCAGTAAGCCTGGATGTAAGGCAGCTGGAAGTTGCAAACAGCATCACTGGAGCATCCATTGAATCATCCTTATTTGCCGCTTTGTTCTTGATTTCCCCCCTAAAGTTTAGCAAAGAAAGGAAAGCCTTTCATAATGTTCTATTTCATTCCCTTTTGCTGTAAGTCAGAGACAAAAATTAGGCAAGATTGTGTTGTGTTTTTAAAGAGGAGAGTGTGCAGGAAGGGAGATTCTGAAGATGGCCTTGAGGAGATTACATTTAAGAGAGGTAACTCAAATGTTTGGTTTATTTTCTGTTTCTATTTCCCCAATTTGCAACAGACAAGATTGTGTTTTTGTTTTTGCTTTAGCTTCCTGTACAGACTCGGTCTTACATACACCAAGACATCCCTTTACCCCCTCCCTACCACATCCCACCCAACTGGCAGTAGACAGATGCAACAATATGTTCACTTGACTTTTGAACTGGGATGCTGAAGATTTTTAAGAACAAGATGGAAGAGCGATGTTGCAGAAAAGCTTTTCCCACCTCCAGGAGAAAGAACAAGAGTGATAAAAAGTCTGTAGAGAAGATGTAGGCGCCATATTGGATTTCACTCTACCTTGGCACTGGCATCCATTTGAGATCTATATATAATATGTTTATGTATATATATTTATATATTTATAATATGTATATTTATAGGTTTGTTTGTGTTTGTCTTAGCACACTGTCCCATTCTCAGGTCTCGATTTGGGGCAGTTGGTCCTGGGGACAGGTTGAACAGAGGGGGCCAGCGTGCAGAAGAAGCCAGAGATCAACGTGAGACCCAGGCCCCCCCATGCACAAAACATTGACCAGCCATAGCCGTGGCTGATGTCATCAGGAAGTCCATACAGGTACCGGGGGTATCGGGAGAGCTCGAAGTTGATTCCAGCCACACATGTGCACAGTGAAATGATGCAGAAGGTTCCTGGAGGAGGAGAAGAACAGAAACAAGGGTGGGGGGAGGGTGAAGAAGGATTAGACATCATTCAATGGTCTGGTATCAATCTATAAGGCCCTAAAAGGCTTGCCGCCAGGTCACCCCAGGTCTCATCTTCTTCCATAGATACCTGCCTGGTCTCTCCAGAAATGTATAGGACACCAGAGAAGATCACTGAGAGCCTAAGTTGGGGTCTTCTCAGCATCATGTGAAGGCTGTTTTTATTCTTCTAGGATTTTTAGTTTTAAAAATCGTACTAATGCATTTTTAGATGCTTGCACTGCTCCTAGCTTTTATATTGTTTATTTCTCTGTTTTTTCTATTTTCAACAATCTCTTTAATATCAGATTTTATTGTGTCATTGTATGGTACAATGCTAAGCTTCAGCAAATAGCTGGTATGGAAATGCAGAAAAAAGGGGAGGGGGGACGACTAAAAGCCTTAACTTATCCACTGCGTAAAAATCAAAATGAAGGGTAATATAGCTGAGGAAATGGATCCAGGAAAGAGATACACAGATGGGTTTAAAATGGGGCCAGCAACTCTAGAGTGCCAGTTGTATCCATTTATTTAAAGCATTTTTTTATTTTACTGTTTTCTAGGCAGCCAGCAAACAAGTGCTTCTTATTAACAATTTTTGCATACGTTAAACCACAAATCCAAACCCCCAGCAAACTAGAAAGGCTTAAATAAAACTGCTCTTGCGTAGCACAGCAAAGAGCAACTGAGACATCTTGGAGAATTACATTCCACAATTTTGGCAGATGGTTTTACCTATGTTAGTCTGCTGTCTAAGCTCTGTGGATGAAGTATGGGGCAGTAGATTTACACCTGCAGAGCTTTCCATGGGGGTTCTGGGGTCCTCCATGATGGAAGTTCAGGTAGCCAGATTGTCCTACTTTACAGAGGACAGTCCTCTGTATAAAGGTAACCTTAGTTTGAACAGCTATCCAGTCCAAGCCCACTTTAAGAAGTACCCCTGAGGAGGGGATGCAGAGGCCTTGGTGTTACTCATCCAAACTGAGCACCTGGACAGCAGACTGCGGAGGCACCTGGCCACCTGGCCACAGTCTTCCCCATTACAGAAAGCTTAGTGTATTGTGGATCTGTGTAAAGTTCTTACTTCCAAATTTGCAACTACATGTGCAAATTAGCATAAGCAAAGTTTATGTGAATCAGTGTGCTCTTGTTTCAGTGTGTGGCTTGGCAAATGTGCCCTGGTACATGCAGAGCTTTGCATTGCCAGCTGAGCGGCATTTTGGTCTCATCCTGATCCCCCCAGGGCTTGCTGCCTGATGCAGCTAGGATGACACTCTTAGGCAGCAATCAAGCGGGTTGCACCCTCTGTCAACGTGGAGGCTACGAGGAAGCAGAAGTAGTAGAGGTGATCTTCGCCTCCCCATCCTCCTGCCCTGCAACTTTTGCCAGGCATGCTTTTCCCTGCACCAAGCTGGTGCACATCGGGGCTGGCGTAGCCCCAACACAACGCATATCCTAGCACAGTGATGGCGAACCTTTTAGAGACCGAGTGCCCAAACTGCAACCCAAAACCCACTTATGTATCACAAAGTGCCAACACTGCAATAAAACCTGCGAACTGAGGTTTTAGCTTAGAAAAACAACTCACAGCCAGTTCAAGCATATATATTTATATACCCTTTGCAGTGCACTGACTGGCCATGCGAAAGCTCAGACGAGTCACAGCTAATGAGTCGCGGCTTGTGATGTCATCGCCTGGCGCCGCTACTCCTTTCCAAGCATGCGCGTGGCCCCTGTGTGTGCTGTTATCCGATGCTCGGCTGCTGGGCCGATGCTGGGGTGACTTGGCTCGCACGCCAACAGAGAGGGCTCTGCATGCCCGCTGTGGCACATGTGCCATAGGTTCACCACCACTGTCCTAGCATCTCCAACTCTTTCCCCTCTCCTCTCATCAAAATCTCTCCTCCCCTCCTTTGAGGTCAAGTCCACAACTTCGGAGGGCAACAGGTGTAGTTCCTTCCATGCCAGATATAAAAGGGAGGGAAGGGTGCAGATCTCCAGCCCCCCCGCCCCACCTTCAACCTACTGATCTCGTGTCGTGGAATTCAAATGATCCACGGCTCTTCAGATGCTGCCAGCGGGCCATAAGATCGCTTTCTTGGTTTGCAAGGTGTTGTGGGCATATTTTTTCTTGGTTTTTTTCCTATTCTCTTGCTATTAAAGAGACAAATGGGAGATCTCCTCTAGAGCCCCTTCCATTTATGAGGGAGCACAGCCTCAACACTTGCGCAAAACACGTGGATCATAGCTGAAGCACATACTAATGAACACAGTGCAGTTTCCATTGCGTTGGAATGTGCTCTTGTGTCACACACAAACGCAATTGTGGGTGAAGTAGGAGTTGGGGAGATTATGTGCACAGGGAAATGGTCCTTCAAGGTTCATTTGGCTTGGTGTGTGTTTGTTGTTTAGCTCCATTAACTACGTGCAGGTTTGCTGGAGTGGGAGAGAAAAAGCAAAAGCAATAATCGGCCCCTCCTCTGGCCCCCTCACAAAAAATCATGGGGAAGGAAAAGTGGTGGGGAGAGAAGAGAAGGCTGTGATGCTGCTTGTTGCTGCCCTCACCCCCTCCCATGGATCAACAAGTCAGCCCCCCATTCCCCCCCCGAAAGAATTCCCATTGACGTCAATGTGATTTGTTTCTGAGTATGGCCATTGGAAACAATGCCATTTACTTCTGAGTACACAACATTTTGTACTCATTTGTATCTAGCCAGGGCGACTTATTTTATATTGTTATTTCTTGTATTTTAATTTTCTGTTGTGAGCCGCCCCGAGGCTTCGGCGAATGGGGTGGCATAGAAATGTTTTAATAAAATAATAAAATAAATAAAATAAAAACATTTTCAGGTTTGAAAAAAATTGCAAACTTTATTGTTTGAAAGGGGAGGGGAGGGGAGGGGAGGGGAGGGAGCAGCGCTGCATTTACTCTCCAGTTCACTAGCCATGTAAAGGAGGGAGGGAGGGAGGGAGTAAAGCTACTGAAGAATCTCTTCAAAGATGCTGCTGCTTCACCAAAGCCCTGCTTGGACACTTCCTCTTCCCTCCCACCCACTGAAGCCACTCCTCCTGGTCCAAGAACAGTACCACAAGTTTAGCACACACTGATGTTTACACCAAGGAAAAACTGCAATTCCCCAAAAGGTTGTGATGTAATTGGTCTCATGAAATGCAGGCTATAGTGCTTCACTACATGAGGCATGAAATCAAGGCACCTTACTGAGGCTTCTATTTTCTTTGTGGGAGGGTTACAGCATCTTTTACACAAGGTCCCCCCCTCCCCAGGTTTTCTGCTTCCTGCCATTCTATGTGTTCCATTTCACAACACAGGTGTCTCTGTAGTGTAGTGTAGAGAACAGAAGTGCAAAAATACACAAGGTTTCTATAGCAAATAATGATGCCATCCAAGGAAATATTAGAACTTCCTTGCTGTAAAAGGACATCATGAAACTCACTGGAAACCTTGGAAGAAGCCCTGGAAAGGTGATGGTATCATTTGAAATTCCCACAAACTCCTAAGAATGAGGGCTCACAGGTACATATATGTGCAGGTATTGGGCCATCTCACATATTACATCCTTCTGATGCTCTGCTCAAGATTCAGAATGAGAACCAGAAGAGATGAGATTGGGAAGCTTAACTGAGATGCCAACACATCTCAAGGTAAACCAGTGGCCGAGGAGAACCAGAGAATTTCAAATGGGAAACTCCAGAGGTGGGTGGGGGATGAACTTCATATCATCAGTTCAATAGTGCACCATTGTAAAAAGGTAGACCAATTGAGAAGCATCGGATGTCCTCAGCACCCAGCCCGTAAGCAGCAAGAGGCACCCTGGAGGTAGAGACTGGTCCTGTTAGCCTGGAAGGGAGGAGAGATGTCCATTGGGGATCAATATCGTATCGTCAAGCTGCATTTCCTTATTAGCTAGTATTCTAATTGCGCTTGTGTCCATGGTTATTGACTGCTCCAATACTTTTCTTTTGCACCTCAAAGCCAGCCCGGCTGGCCAGCTTTAACAAGCTTTAATACAAAAACCTTTTGTCCTGATCTGCTTGAAAGTGGGAGGAGGAAGACCAGCACATGACAATAAAAATGTGATGGCAGAAACAGTGCGACGGTGGATCATGTGACATGCTAGTGCATCTGGAATTATGATGCGAGTAAAAATGTCCAGTGTTGATCTTCCCTAAGATGCTTGTCTGTCTTGAATTTCATTACTAGCAAGCAGCAACATCCCCAGTTACTTATATTTCACTATTCTTGATTATGAGCTGAATCATTTCTGTAATCCCTACCCACCTCCTTCAAAGATGGATCAGAGCCACAGGCTATTGGCTAGTGCAAAGGGGGAAATGCATGGCCCTTCAGATGTTGTTGGACTGCAACTCCAATCAGTCCTGGTGAGTATATCTGACAGTGAAGGATGATGGCAGCTGCAATCCAGTGCCATCTCAAGGGGCAGGAGTTCCCCATCCCTGAATGAGAGCCACTGTATTGCTTGCCTGCTGGATCTGGAAGGCTGAGAAATCACACAATGTATATGTAAAAATAAAATCAAAGCAGGTAGAAATTAGGTCAGTCGTGACACACACCTCACCTCCTAATCAAGGTAAATGAATATGGAGTGGAAGGGAAAAGGGAAGGATAAAAATGTGGACTTTGCAGTCTCCACCTTCTACAAATGACAAAATAATTACATCCAGTTTGCCTATTGCTTGGTAAGAGGTACTGCGGAAACACCAATCTTTACATCAGCCCAATATTCAATATAAAAATGTAAGTCTCTAGCAGTTAATAAAAATATTTAGAATTTGCATGGTGGCTTTGACAGTATTGTTCACTATACATGTAGCCATACGCATTATCTTTCAACAACCCTAGATGCAGAGTAAGGCCAGCCTGGAAGGTGTATGGATGAGGTCAGTTTCATAGCTCTGTCTCATAGGCA